GAGTCCATGTATATAGCTAAAGGCTACATAACAAGCAACAATGCCAGACAGGAGATACCTTCTTTTGAGTTGTTGGCTAGGGTAGCCCAAGAGACTCCCAGACAGTAACCCAGCATAGAACTGGGAAAATGAACAGCAGACCCCAGACTTATCTAAAGGAATATTGACAACTGAGTGCTGCTAGATGAGGAACAGCTGACCTTCCTAGAAGCTTTTTTTTTTTTTTTTAAACAGAGATTACAGAGTTCCACAACTGATCACACACAGAGATTCTCTGAATTGCCCAAGCCTAAGTGGCACATCTAGGATGCAACCTGTGCACTACCTAAGGCTCATGGAACATAGAACAAGGGATGAAGAGAACACTAACGCATCTTTCAGTTTCATCAATGAAGCTCCCTCATGTAACAGAGGGCCAGGAACACAAAAGGTCACAAATGGCCAAAATGTGGAAAATAAGAGTCTACAGACTGTGGGTCTTTGGACAGGACTCCTATATTAAAACCCACCTACACAGGACTCAGGAACCATTGTAGAAGAGGGGGTGGAAACATTTAAGATCCAGGGAGGAGGTGCATGACCATATACAAATAGAGTCCTACAGGCTCCTGGGCCCCTTCTCATATGAACCTACAGCAATGGTGTCAACATGCACAAGACCTATACAAACTCAAGGAGACAAAAACCCAGCACAGAATTATGTAAATGGACAGCAGGCCCCAATCTTAGTTGAAGAATTATTGGCAGCTGATTATTGCAGGGTTAGGATGAGCTGATCTTCCTAAAGGGAGGGATGTCTGGGGACACTAACTTGACATGATAGGCCTTAACACCAATGACAAAATATATGAAGTCCCATGGTGGGGCTATGCGTGGGTGCCAATGGAGAAAGGGGTATAAAATTGGATAAGATGTTCTATATGAATTACACAAGAATCCAACAAATATCTAAGAAATTATTTAGTTTCTTTTTGTGTGTATGAATGTATTGCTTGCATGCACGTGAGTACACCCGTGTCATGCAATGCCCTTGGAGGTCAGAAGAGGGCGTCAGATCCCCTGGAACTGAAATTACAGATGGCTGTTGGCTGCTGTGTGGGATTTCAACCTGGTTCCTCTTTCAAGGGCAGCCAGTGCTCTTAACTGGTGAGCCATCTCTCCAGCTTCAGTATTTATTTTTTTATAAAAAACTTAAAAAAACTTTTTCTTTATTATTTTTATTTTATGTGTATGTGTGTATTGCCTGCATGTAGGTAAGTACACCTGTGTCATGCAATGCCCGCGGAGGACAGAAGAGGCTATCAGATCCCCTGGAACTGGAGTTATGGACAGTTGTTAGCTACCATGTGGGTGCTGGGATTTGAACCCGGGTCTTCTGCAAGAACAGTCAGTGTTCTTAACAGCTTAGTCATCTTTCCAGCTCCAGTATTTGACTTTTTAAAGAATGCTAGTTATACATTGTCTTTTTCTTTAATACATTAATTTGTTTTTGTGGAACACTATTAGCAGGAAGTGAATAAAATTCAACTTCCTGAAGAAGAAACTACCCAGGATTAAAAAGCTTGGGGGATATCTGAGCTGGTGAGAGTATCCTGTGAGCAAATGGCAAATGAAAATGGACTATCTGCTATATTCATCTTTTCCTCAGTATACCAAATTCTCACAACTAAAGAAAATACTTTAGTATTTTAGTTAGTGTTCTTTTCTACTAAATCTCAAGTAAACTATTGTTCATTTAAAGTACTCTCTCTTTGGGAAAACCCAATTCATAATGATGCATATTTGTAAGACAAAAATTAGTATTTTATAAAAGAAGTTACTATAGGACTGCTTTAGCCTGTCTTTTCTATGATTTTTAGAAAGATTTTTAATTATGTTTATGTTATGTGTGTCTGCGTTTGGGTATGTGCATGTAAGTGCAGGAGCTCACAGAGGTCAGAAGAGCCCCTAAGCTGGAGTTACAGGCAGTTGTGAGTCTTCCAATGTGGGTACTGGGAACTGATCTCGGGTGCTCTGCAAGAGAAGTACTGTTTTTGCCCAATGAATCACCTCTCCAGCCCCTTTTCAGTGTTCTTAATATAATTTAAATGCTATCACATGTGTGTACTGAATGTAAGCAAAAGACAGTGGAAGCTTACAGATAATTAAAAGTATATATCCATGTCCAAATGAAGTTTATCAGAAAGAGTAAAGAGAACCAAAGAAACACAAATGAAGTTTAATTTTCATCTCCCCCCTTTTCCCCCTACAGTGAGGTATCTGCTAAAAAAGTAATGAAAAGGCTTGATGTGTTAAGAAATCAATCAGAATGCAAACATTATAAATTTAGATACTGACCAATAAGCAGGAAAAGAAACACGTTTTTCTTAACTAGGACTTTCAAAACCTCAATGAAGTAAACTTATTTGTACATGAAAAGTCTGAAGTCAGAGAGGTGCAAGTACTTGCTTATTGCAGTGCTAACTGGTTAAAGAATCTTACTATCTCTCCAATTTCATAATTCCTCCCCCCAGATATCAATATTGGTTTTGAGACAAATAAAAATCCCCAAATAAACATCTGCTATATTAATTTTCTATAAAATACTTCACATTATTTCAAAGTAGTCAATAAATAAACATTGCCAAATGTAATAAGTTAACTATCTTTTCTTCTTATTTTCATCAAGTGTCTTCCTCAAATGTCTTACACAATATGAGCTGATGGTCAATGCAGTGGCACTGCATCTCAGTACCTGACATAGATGCTCGATACTGAACAGTGAAAAAAAAGCTAAGTTTTATTTCTGTGTATTAATTTCAGCAGTTCTGACACTCTTCCATGTTCTACTCATGTACACAGCTACACCATTAATCCAAAGAACAATTTAAATGCCATTTCAACGGCAATTTCTGTGATGGAGTCATGAAAACAAACATAAAGTTCCTGAGGTTTTGGGTGAAGGAAGAGCCTCCTGGAAAAGGAAAGAACACAAAAATTTCAGAAATTAAAGTGATAAAATCCTTTCCCTTTATTTTCTTTCAGTTTTGGAAGAATCAGGGTAAATTAAAAAAGAGCATGAATATAAATCTACAGAAGACAAAATGCAGCTCTATTTCTAAATAAATAATGCATACTTGAAGTTAATGTTATTATCCTAGAGTATAAAAATCTTATTTTAAAGTCATTTTTTCTGTTATCTCAGAGTATATAAAATCCTGTTTAATCAATGTATATCATGATACCCATCAGTCTTAAATATTGAACCTAGTCATTATTATTACCATCCAGGCAATACCACCTGTATCTTTATAAGCACAATAGTCATTAAACATTCTACTGCCACTTCTTAAACTTTTAATATTAAAACATCACATAAATGATTGCTCATTTGTAGATAGTATTTCATTAACAGAATTTTTTATATATGATGCATGTGTTATGTGTATGTGTTCATGTATGAGTATGTGGGTGCATGCAAAGCCATGGTGTATATATGTGTAGGGGAAAGGACAGCTCAGGTATTGTTCTTGACTTCCACCTTGCCAAGGCAAAGTCTTGTTCATGCTAGCTAGTCCTGGACCTTTTGGGTGTTCTCCTGTCTCCCATGCCTCCACAGCAGCTCTGAGATTACAGACATGCTCTAACAGGCCTGGCTTTACATGGGGTCCTGGGGATCTGAACTCAGGTCTTCATGCTTGAACAGCAAGTGCTTTACCTTACTGAGTCATCTCCCCAGTCAAATATCACAGATTTGTTTGGTTTTCCTAAACAGCTAAAATTTTCATATAGAGCCAGGTGGTATATACCTTCAATTCCAGGCACTCAGGACACTGGGGCAGAAGGGTCATGATTTGAGATCATCCTTTTTGAGACCTAGTCTCAGAAAGAAAATAATCTAGTTTTAGTTAGTACAACATATATAAATTGAACATTTAAGAAGCTATTTGTTTTTATTTTATGTGTATGAGTGTTTTGCTTGCATGTATGTAGGTGCACTGGGTGTGTGAAATGCCTGTGGAGGGCAGAAGAGGGCACTGGATTCCCTGAAACTGGAGTTATAAATGGTTGCTAGCTGCTATGTGGATGCTGGGAACTGAAGCTGAGTCCTCTACAAGAGCAGCCAGTGCTCTTAAAGGCTGAGCCATCTCTCCAGCCTCCCGACCCCAACTGAACATTTTTAATTTGGGGAGTGTTGGTCTGACTTCCTTTAAGTTTCTCTCCTATGTACTCTGCATCTTCATTTGGAGCTATCCCAATATAAATGTAGCTAATGCTTCACTGAATACCTGGGTGTGTGTCTAGCTGGCCTTCCCACCTCTAGTCTCTTCTATATCCACACCAGATTGCTCCCGGATTAATTTTATAGTAACAGAGCTCTGATGGTACTACAGAATCAAATTTAGACTGCTGTTCTTAAGCCTAGTGACTTACGAATCAGTCACCAGGGAGCTTACTAAAAACAAAAGCAGACCCCCACAGTTTCTTACTCAGTGGGTCTGGGGAGGGGCACAGGCAACTCTGGTTTTGACAAATGACACAGTGTTTCTCAAACTCATGGACTGCTGCTTTGGATCATTTGTAAAGTGCTCATCATATAGTTAGAACTACCTGGTAGGTGTCCAGCAACTGTAGTCCTGCCAAACTGTGTCCTTTCCTCTGCCAATTTTTTACTTCAACACCAGGAACTTTATATAACTCAGTCCTTCCCCTAAAATTCAGTTCCACAGCCAGGAACTGAAGGCTCTTGGCAACAGGCTTACCTTAGATCTCCAGTGATCACTGACTTTATCTTTGTGTATGTCATTTGTGCACCATCCAAGCAATCCATCTACTCACTACCATGCCTTATGATTGCTTTTGGACTGTTGTTCATCCCATTTCCTTCACCTAGAAGGCTCTTTCCAAAGACAATTCATTTTCTAAATAGGATCTAATGAACCCTCAATGTGCCTCGCTTTTAATACCTGCTTAGGTTTGTTTTTTTTTTCTCTTCTTTAGTATTTGGAGTAGCATTTAGTTGTATTGTGTAATCTACTGTATATGTATATATACAAACATATGTACATACACATACTTATTACTTATGTACGCATGTATACAGATACATATGTCAATATTCTATCTATAAATATATAGATGTGTGTACACATTTAATCTTTCTTCTACAAGATGTAAGTCCTTGGAAATAATGACCACATTATTACCTTTGGGTTTACTATGCTACTCACCGATCTATCCACACTTTTGCCTAGCATAACTACATCAACCAAACCATATTTTATTAAGCGCCAGGTGCTGCTGCAGATGCCAATGATAGGGAAGACAGATTAAGGTTCCTGATCTTGCAGCTGACATTCCAGTGAGTGTGGAAAGGCAATAAGCAAATATGAAAAAATGGTAAAGGGGGTGGCGCAGGGGGTAATGGGATACCGCTTAATGGGTCCTCTTTGAGATGACCTGTTAACACTGTTGGATATGATACTCCCATGCCAAAGGAAAAGCAGAAACCCCTGGATGGTGCCAATGAATCTGGATCACAGTGGACAGAGCATGAAACAGAGGGGCAGGAAAGGTCAGATGGAGTCCGGTCATGAAGGAGTGTGAGGAAGAAAAAGGAAAGACAGAAAGAAAAGAAGAGGAAAAAGGAAAATGAAGTGGGGGCTGCAGAGATGGCTCAGCAGTTAAGGCTACTCTTTCAGAGGATCCATGTTTGATTCCCATCACCCACATGGAGGCTAACAACCATCCATAACTTCAGTTCTAGGGGATATGATACCCTCCTCTGACACTGGTGTACCTACATCATGTAGGCAGTACACATATACACATAAAATAAAAAAAATTTTAGAAAAAGTGGGGTAAAGAATAAGGAAATAAATGAAGAATTATTCTTTTAGTGATTTCCAGAGATAAATGAAAAGCTTTTCTTATTCCTGATCTTTTTCTTATTTATTGATTTATTATTTTACAACTTCATAT